TTTTGTGATGTACGAGTTGCGCAATAAGAATTTCGCTAAAATCAATGCGTGATAAGTTTGTTATTGCTGACCGCTTTCGCTAAAGAGGTATCGAAGATCGTTAGATCATATCTTTTTTCTTTCCGGCATTTTATCAAAACAGGGTTAATTCAACTAGCAGAACATTTTAATAACGCATTTGGTTGTAACAAATTTTAGCAAAGGACAAATTTTCTGTATCAAGGGGAGGAAGCCTACTTGTGATTTATAGAATGGTAGTATACGAACTAGTTTGGCCTACTAAGGTGCAATTGTGCAAGCTAACAAGAAACCATGAAATCTATATTTTTAGGTATGCGCTCATTTTTACTAGGCTTGCTCTGTTAGTGTTCCTCCTTTATCGATTATTAGGTATTATCTTGCTTTCAAAACGATTAAAAGCTGCGATGTTCGAAAGCCAGTCTAGGCTGGTTACGTAGGTCAGGTAGTAGGACACATCCGTAATATTGCCTCAGGTAGAACTTTTTTTTTCTATTGCTTCTTGAAACGATAGTCCAGCTTGAATTCGTATTTGGAAAGTCACGCTTATATGTTAATATTCATGTACGAAATGCAAAAGAAATATTGTTATTGCTTTTTAGGCTTCCAGTTCTTTTCATGCGAACCTACCAATTGAGCGACATGAATCTCGATGTATGGTTCGCATAATGGAAACTGTTCTTGGCTTGTATCGAGATTGTTGGCCAGACGAACCTCTATTAGTCAGAAAATATAATAAATACTGAACAACTAAGATGCGTTTAAGTTGCTATAGAACTTCTTTTTAATCTAAGTAACTAACACTATATACGTTATGATAATTTAAGTGGTTTTAAACCGCTTGAAGCTCGAAGACCATTTTCGGCATACGCTAATGACAACGTATGATCGTTTATAGGCCCATATGACAACACTACATTTCTGCCCCTTCGCATAAAAAGGCAATATATACTGAATTTTTTGTCAAGGAAAGCGACATGGAGAGGCCGCAATACATAAACAAGAGAAAAAGTATGAAGGAATTAAATGCGCGGTGTTCCGTTGAGACTTCGAAATCGAAAACTCTATACGGAGGGTTGACTATTGATGATGTGCGAATTAACTATTGCTACGAACAATTGCTTGGTTAGTCTAGATTAGCAGCTCATAAAAGTATAAGTAGCTTTTAGTAGTGGCCAGTAACTTCTGTTTGTTTAGGAAGTTTTGAAACTTTAGAAAGTTTTCATCAAACGACAGCTTCGGTAGCGCCTTATTATCACGACGCTACTAAGACTGAATATATCTCTCTGTTTGTCGATCTGTGTATTTGTCTTTCCCATCCAAATCGAGAGCTCTAAAGAGTACTTGCTTTAGGCTAATTTCCGTGAGCTACAAGAATTTCATTCTTATGTGTATCGTCGAGCTCTAGAAATGAGTATGAGATAATGCTCATCGAATAAATATTTTTTCCAAGATAAGGTTTTTTCCACAAATCGTAATGAAAATTGGTAGATTCTTCATAATTTGCTCGACAACCGTCGAGAAGTCGTAAAAACTTTACATTAGAGCTTTATATAGTTTACTCTTAAATCTGCACGAAATGGGCGCAGCAGGAATAACGTTAATTTTCTCAATGTGCGCAATGCTTGATGAACTATGAACGGTATCTTCGTACTTTGATTTGACACATATCGTTTTCTAAGGGATACCCTTTTGCTTCCATAGAGCGTAATACTGATTTGGCCAAGTCGACCATTTTTGGCGATTCGCTCGACAACTGTTACAAATTTCTCAAGGTTTATATAGAAATGTTGTTTGTTCAAGTTCAAAGGATAACACACCATTTCGAGTTTCTTCAAGAAAGTCCTCCTTTTGGGAGAAATAATGCTAACCCGGATAATTTGTTGGATGGTTTATTTCCTATATAAACTATTTCGGTATGTGGTTTATATTCATTAGTTGGTGAATATTCTTCCCCGATTTGTTCTACAACCGTTAACAATTTGCGAAAAGTTTACGAAATGAAGGGTGCTGGGTTCTTCTAACTACCAACTGCGCGTATCGTCTCCACCGACGAGATAATCCAATGTCTGGCAGATAAATGCGTAAATCTCGTACCACATCGTAGCGTGTCCATTAGTTCTCTTTCTGTCTTTCCATGCGGGATTGATCATTGCCCAGATCTGGCAGAATTTTGTGTCGATGACATTCATTTTCAATTTGTGCTCGTGAATTGCTTGACAGTTAGTTCTGTTTCTTTCAAGTCACACCGTCGCTTCAGAGACGAATAGCGATGTGTCACAGACTAAGTAAAATAACCTGTTTTACACTGAAGCATGGGAACTCAAGACATGCTTGAATAGGTCTGGCTTCACTCAATCAAGTGTGCAAAGTTAATTGAAGTAAGATGGCCTTATGTTAACGGTAATCCATACGATGCACAGAAGGCTACCTTAATGTGGAAGACGGCCACCATTTTTTAAGCGAGATCTTTCTTCAATCATCAACCGTTATCGCTACTACCAAAGCCCTTTACATTCTCTGAGAGATGTGATTATCAAAAGTGTATCAAAAGCGTGAGTGTCATTTTTAAATAAGTGAAGAAATTTATATGCTGAATTGCGCTTACACGAAGTCGGGGTGCGTTTACCGTGCCCGATAGACCTTTTGAAAGCATCACGTCAGTGACGTATTGTTTTGGAAATAACTAAGGCTTGGTGGAGGTATTATCGGTTAGAAATATACAGTACAAGATCGCTTTCGTACAGGAAGAGATTCTTTAAATAGAGACGTTACTTGATCTCGTTGGGCAGGTCACTGATCAGGACAGAGGATAATGGTGGACTGAAGTTAACACCCTGATCTTCGTCTGGGGCATGTTCGAAGGAATCAAGTTCTGCTACACCGTCATGGATGCACACTTCGTTTATATGCAGTATATTTTGGGAAGGTTTAACATGTTTTACTGCACGCCTATCCGAGCTAACTCAAAAAGCGCCGCATCTCTTAGCGTAATATCGAGTGCACACTGGATCTCGACAAATACTGCAGAATATTTATATACCCGCGAGCCGCGCAGAGCGCACTGTCTGTCTCCCAGAAAGACCTTACTGGCCGTCTAGGTGGAGTATCAGCACTACTACAGTTTACGTTAGCCTGAATGAAACATCAATATATCATATCGGCTAAATCAACGGCAAAGCGAACGTGGAGCGAAGCCTGCAAGTCTGCCTAGTATACTACATAAAACTGAGTGTTCGTGACTGCGTATTATCCGTCCGCCGCAAATCGTCTCGGTGAAATAGTCCCTTTGAGCTGATTTTTCTACGCTGAGAGGATTTTATTTTACGGTGAGCTGTACGCTAGAATAAGCCAACTAGATGACTACTCTGTCACGAACCACTAGATCGCATAGATTTCAGTTTTAAGACAAAACCCCATGTGTGTAGAAAATTCACAAAAAAAGTGAGATACTTCATATATACGCATTTATCCGATAAACGAATTTCGACTGAGAAGCAACGCTTGATCGGATATTCTTAGTAACTATATGCAACGACTAGTTTATGCACTCCGTCTTTTTATACACTTGAGTATCGACTGGTTCTGACATATAAGTGTACTTATACAAATAACATCGCTTAATGCCTTCGGTGCATGGAAAATCCATCTGGAACAAGATCAATACTATTGAGATTACCCACTCACGCCTCCGTAAGCTCGATTTGTAGTAATCACTCAAGCCAGGGGGATAGCAAAAAGATGAACAAATAATATTGTGTTTGTGTAACATCAGCCGTTCGATGTACAAACAGACCTGAACGTTGTCTAAGTTCACGCCATATCCTGGATATATGTACTGCTGAGATAAAATTGAGATCATCAGTATGTGTATATACTATACTTAAGTATAGTGGTCAACACTGGGCTCATATTAGTGTTTGCTTCCAAAATCTATATATCGATATATATCTATATATCGAAAGGCTGAAATTCTACATGAAAAAGACCTTTAAAGTGACGTTTCATAATCAAATGTGCAATTTGTTGAGAATATCATCGATCACACTGCAGAGCTCAATTTGACACATTATTCAGGACATTCAAAGTTCGATAAATCACTGTTTACTATAGCACTACCTGAAAAAAAACTTAAACAGAAAAATTATTAAATATATATATTATAAAATACAACGTACGAGACGCTTCGAATAGGCGCCATTTAGAAAGATTCTGCAGTGGAAAAATGAGCACTGAAAATGAGCGCGTAGTGACCGGAAATAACCTCGTGTATTTTCTAGTTGTTCGCCGCTACTGTCCTTGTGCTCGTGGCAACGAAAGCGCTCAACACCAATCTTAGGAAATGGGAGCCAGAATTCGCGGAAACGAATGGGAATTTACTTCAAGTGCGATAGGATAAATTAGGTAAACCGATATATTGTCATTTGCTTTGCCGTGAGATCCACTATAGACGTCTCAGGAAACGCGATTCCCATGAGCATCACGATGCATAAGATACTTTAGATGCGAGGAAAATCATTTGAGACATTAGGTTACCCTCGGGCATCATACTTCAAATCTCTTAAATTCGTTTTTACCTCAAGACTCGCATAACGCGAAGCGTCTTGAACGGTTCTGGATACTCTCTCTGATATTAAGATATTTTGTAGTTGTCCTGTAAGTTTTTGACCACTACCATCAAAGGTAAATAGAATTTGACTAAGATGAATAAATAGATTTGAGTCGCACTTAATTCAGTCTAAATGTGTTTCACCTTCTGACGGATCGTTGTTGTGCTGTGATGCATTCAGAAGAAATGCAGCTTCATAATGTCCTCGAATAATATAGATCTGCTATAATTGCTTTCGTAAGACCTTCGTGATTCATCGCTGAACAACTATTATGTATACAGTAGTGTAACTTATTTTCGGAATTTATGCTGTCAGTCAGCTACTTATAGTCATATGTCCTGATTAGATTAATAACGACGATTTTTCTTGCATTTAAGTTTAACCAACATTGCTTTACTGTTTTCGTATCAAAGACAGCATCCGGAGTTCTCTGAAGTGCCCTAGAAAAAACCAACATTGAATTAGTAAATAATGACTATTGAGCTAATTGTAGAATAAAATAGGTCGTTTTAATAGGTACTCGTGCAATTTCCAGCACTCGAAGAAAAAAATACAATATGCTTATATTGAAATATTTGACGTGTGAATTCAAAATACTTGGACACAGTTTCGAGGTTTGACACGTTTGAGCTTAAAAAACTCATATATCCATTAATATTTATCTTCTATGCTGACTCTATTATTAGGTAAGCTATACATAGTAAATAATCTGCCAAACCTACCTGATACATTTGTATCATTCGGCACTGGTATGTTTTGAGCGTATTCTATCTAATAACACTAAGAAAATAAATCAACAAAGAACCCCTCTTAAAAATTTTGTTCATTTGCGAGTATCCACCAAAGTAATATGCCCAGTTTTCCTAAAATACCTCTGGGTTAGTCATATCTTCATCTGTAAATATTTTCTCTATACACATATCAGGATTGAAGCGGACCCCAACTAAATATGGCTTACCTAATTTCTTGTCAACTGTATGCTGTTGAGATGAACCGGTTATCACTGGGTCCGCTAATATTATAGGTTATATTATGTATTTAGTATACATCTGGGACGCCAACATAACATACATGTTACGACAGTACGCGTTAGTTACAATGACTGTCCAACAGTTTATTACTGGACTTTGTTAAGATACGACAAAACATGAAAAAAATCGTAACGTTTCCTAGTTTACTTTTGTTTGGGTTAACGGACGTTTTTATCTTTCAAATGGTTGACTGACTTCGTTTACTCAGCCGATAGGAAGTGCACGCGTTTTGGGTTGGAGCATGTCCTGTGCTTTCAGACGTCGTGTAATGAAATACAACAACCGCTACCGTGAAAGTAACAAAGCGCCCCCACACGGGCGAAACGCGTAGTTTAGTCCAAATCAATAGGATGCTTACCGTTTCATAAGTTTCTTCTTGGTTTAAATTTTCTCAAGTAGAAGCTGTTCGTTATGATATATTTGGTTGGTCTAAGCTATTGTATGCAAGTAATTGATGCTTCGTTCCTAAAGAGACCCGTGACCGAATACAGCCACCGTTATTCCCGCTGAAATCGTACTCCACATATACTGACAGAGTCGCTAAAATGTTAGTCCTATCGCTCTATCTAATATAGCACAATTTTAGTCCTATCGTTTTATCTAGTACAGCACAAATCTTCCTGTGTCGGACTCAAGTTATTAATAAACTTAATTAGCTAACTTTTGTTTTTTTGCCTGTTGCAACTTTTCAGTTATTTCAACATCCCTACACCACCATGAATGCCGCCGAAAAATTCTGTTGTTTATTCTATTTGATTCATCTGATATCCGGATGCCTAGTTAACTGGAACATCATGACCAGTATCAATTGACTAGTTTATGGCTGATACTGACACCAGCTGCGTAGTCTCCGACCGAAGCAAATAAATATGGCAGCCTTCGATGAACAATCGATATTATGCCCAGTCTTCTCTCTCGCACCGTCTCAATAATCTTCCTATCCAAATCTCTACGCCCGACGACAATAACAACAACACTGGTAGCATCGACCAAGGAACTAAAGTAAGGGATTGACTAAAGTAAACATCAGTGGCGTCAGCGACAGTGTTTTCCTGCAATTTCGTCTGCTCTTACTTGGCCCATTCGACACAAATCTAGCCGTGCTTTTTCGTAAGGAAAAGTTAACAGTCAGCATTGTTCATTTGCGGTTACCAATGCTATTGATGGCGGAACTCCGTACATACACACACACTAGCAGAATCAGATAGTATCGTCGATAGATTTGAGAATGTTCACGATAAATACAATGGTATCTAGCCCATCATTACTGCCAATTGAGTCATACCAGTTAAGGTGCGACACACAGCCACCGCAAAACAGTTTCGCGAAGAAGGAGTGCCCATCTAAGGGCTGTAGGTAGCTAGCAGAGATAATGGTCAAGTGAATGAGGTCGAGAGCTGTTGTTCTGGGGATTAGTCTGACGCATAGAAGATGTCAGAAGATGAAGTGTTTGGCGGGAAACTGCCGGCTCTGCGCGTCTGCTCGGAAGTCGCCAAAGTCTCGGTGAACAGCAGCGTAGCGATGGTGAGTACAGCGGTGAAGGCGATCCATTAACAGTCGACGAATAGCAGGCGCTACACCAGCTGCAATAATAACCTTAGACTTCTTGTACGCAGAATCAGTGGTGGACTTTTCTCTTATTGGCTGGCTTCGGTAACAACAAGTGCCAGATGATGTCCCTCTTACGTCATACACTATCATTCGGATATCCTTTTCTTCTTTTCCTATTTGCAGTAGTTATAGTATTAGCAGTAGCACCAATGGCTGCTGTTGATGTCTATGTGATTGTCAAGCAAACATCAGATCAAACTATCGCGTGGCGTGTGGCTACCTCTGCGGACGGACAAAGAAGACGCGGAGACAGTCAAGTTTAAGTCGAAGGCAGTTGGTAATACGAAAAAATCGGGACAAGAAAAGAAATAAAGGGAGGTACGCAGCACATGCATGCGTCAAGTTGACTTGTCGTTGAAGGGCAAGTTCGCCGTAGGTGGCCGGCTGAAATTTAGCCTGTTTTTATTCATCCGATGAGGAGTGCAATTTACAGTTGCTGAGTATAATAATTAAAGCAATACAATAGTGGTTTCTTGAGATGGCAGACTACAGTGGTTCGTAGATTATATCTATTCCTCTACAGTATAACAACGGGGAAATGTTTGAGTGTACGTACACAGGTCTATGTATACCGAGAAGGCTTTTTGGCGGTGACGAGGGGTGTCGATCGCAGGGATACCGAAACCTTCCACTTTCTGTAGCAAACCTCGCGACCACAGTCTGACGTCCCGGTTGTTCGAGTGTGAAAACAGAGATATGACGCACTTACCAATGAAATAGAGATTAACATGAGTACTTTATACTTGCAAGACCAACAAACATGTCGTAATATGTGGAGTACAGACCCGTGTAGCTTCGTGAGAGCTGTTTTGACTTTGTTGTTTATTAATACATAGACAACTATGTTTACAAAAAATATTTCTTATGGTCGCAAGACAAATAACACCCGGGCTATTGTTAGCAGCATACTATCGTTCTTGTGAGAAATTCAGGTGTCATTTAAAGATAATCACTCGTTTACTGTCGGTAGGTCAAACACCGTCCCATATGTATTAACTATTTTCCAGCACTTATTAATGTCAATTAGGCAACAATACATGCTATACCGTCTTACTTTTTACGTATGATCTTTAAACTTTCGATGCTAATTTTTATATCTCTAAATATCTTTATCTGTAGGAACTCTGTTAAGCTTAATTAATAATAAGTTAGATATTATTAATAGGAATTCGATTTTACGACAAACTCTAAAGTGTGTTTGTCCTTAAGTACAGTACCCTTCTTAATCTCATTAGAATTCCAAATGTAGCGTACAAGTTTCATACAAGTATGCCGAACGCTCAATAAATGCGCAAAAAGGCCGTCATATTTATCGACGGGAAAGGGTATTGTCAGTTTCTCCTGTGGGTTCTATTGGAAAGGAGCGATGCTCTGACATCATGCCCGGCATAATAATAGAGAAACCTCAATGCTTCTTCAAGTTGAAGTTTTCATTTGATGGCAGTCAGAATTTTCCAGTAGGAGAAATAAATTATGACGTACTAACAAAGAGTTTGCAAACAACAGAGAGCAAATATAGATGCTGGACGTTTGTGAGTTATTCGCGGCTAACGAATGAGCTATACTTTATATGTGCATAAAGAAAACAAGGTACTTGCTCGATGTTTAAAACTCACATGCTTCAAAGATTCATACATGTATTTAATTTTTTATTTGTAATTTCATAAGATGTACCATCAAGATACTAATCGACGATATATCTATATAACCTATCTATCGTAATTTATCGTAACAAGTCACATCGCTATCAACTTGCGGGTTGCATATACCATACCCCTATCTTACCTGTAATAGAATTTAATTGTGAAGCTACGTTTAATTATTCCACTTCTACATACGTCGTAAGATTTGGAAATTCTTGCCGTTTCTTTATATGAAGTAAGTGGTAGCTTCATGTTCTATAAGCGTTCCAGGACATTGAGTCACAACCTTAGAGAAAACAAGGTGACTTGTGCCTATTTATTTACCTATCAGAACTACTTCTGTTTTTTTTTTTTAGTAATATTTAGCCATTTTTACACCTCTTCCGCAGTCACCCATCTTCCATTGTGTTATGACGATAATCAATACTTTTTACATCATAGTTTATTCCACTAAGGGTATCGAAAGAAACGTTTGATATCCCTAGCGGAATGAGCAGTTGCTCACTGTTCTCTTTCACAGCAGCAAGACTAAATAAGTCGAGAATATTATTTTCAAGGAGTATATCCATGTGTTGCAATTTCAGAGGCATTCACTAAATTTTACATTTTAACTTGATCTATCCTTACCACACCTAAAGAGTTCATTCATAACATGAATTAGAACAAACGTACGAAATGCTCCTTATTGGGCAGCCAAGGCTCCAGCGATCAAAAAAAAGTATTAAAAATAATAGTATCGAGTATACAAGTTTTCCACATAGTGAAATCAATGGTGTCTGTGAGCATGGTTAAAAGGCTCATTCTTATATGATGTTAAGGTGATCTCTCGATTATTAGAAGCTTGTAGAGAAACATGCTGTTTTCGGTGAGATATATGTCCCGAAACAATACGTCGGGAGCGTGTGCTTTCGGCATACATGAGACAGCATTCAATACAATTTCTACGTCGTTTCCGGTAAAATATTGCGAAATACTACACTCCTATCGATTGCTTTCAGGGACTTTCGGTGTGCTTGCCAGGTCAGTACAATCTAGGAGTGGAGGCCGATACGGCACCCTCTTGCGACAATCACGAATGGGTGAAGTGTTCAGTATATACAATGTAACTGTCAGAGATTAAACAAAGCTATGTCAATGATATAGCCAATTTTGTGAAATATTCATTAACAGAGTTAAATAAAAACATAGCATAATGGCAGATATATTGTTATTAACAACAAAAACCGAAGGCTCGAAGCTCCCCTCGTAGCTCGCAAAAGATTGTGGCTAGACCATCGGATTTCAATATTTCCATCTTAAAAAATCCATAGAAGCTTACCACTTTACCAACGATAAGTATATACATATTTGACACTTCACTGCCATCGTCTCACTTCGCCGACATCCTACGCAGTAAATTCAATAATCAATCATGTTTAAAGTCTTTAAAGAAGCGCAACGCATGAATTTTCGTCAGATATAAGTAAAGCTTGATCGAATAGTTTGCGAACCCTTAAACGACTACCTCGTACCAATATTCGGTTTGGAAGAAAGTTGATCTGAAGACTTTTCATCGAGCTCCCAAAATCTTCGAAAAGGAATTGTCTGTTTAATAAAAACAAGAAACGCTATGAAAATATACACACTCTTAAATAAATGTTATGAACTCATTATCCTATTTAGTATGCTAGTAAAGAAAATACACTAATAAAGTGTAGTTGCGTTTAAATACAATTGAATCGATAACAATTTTTATTCGTGGATAAGCTAGAAAACCTTATTAAAGCTTTGTCACAACTTTTGTCTGTACTTCATAAAGGACTGCGCATAAACAAACGACGTGTTCATAGATTTCCTACTAATTTTCTCCGTGTCTAACTATTGCAATGATGATGCCTCAGCCAACCCCAGCTGACACCCCATGATGAATTTTAGCGCATACAGGAAAATCTTGAACGTGCACTTAACACCTAATGCTTAGCCTCTGCTACTGCTTCGAGCAAACTGAAAAGAGTACACTGATATAATATATGGTTTTATTATTAATTCGTTAGACGATTACTGTATTACTACACATACCGCCAGCTGAAGCGATGTATATACAATTTGATATGGTGGGATTGTCCTTCTATGCAAGTAAGCCCGGGGCACTCGCCTCAGTCTAATTATACTTGGGGTCTCTATCTGGCCATTCGGCAAATATTCAATACTACTCTGATTATAGGTTGTCAACGTACGGAAAATTCGCATACAAACCATACATTTGCCAAACATTACCAGAACGCTAACGGCATCATATGAAGATTATGTTATATCTAGAGCAGCGTAGCTAATAAATTATATACAAATGATAAATATCATGCTAATACGACGAGCTCCGATTGAGATCAGCTCCATTAAACGTCTGCTTATAGCTTGAATAGTGAGTGAGATGTTTATCTGGAGCGTTTATAGAAAGCGACTCATACAGCGGCTTGGTACTGTAAAATCCCTTGAGCAGGCTGTGCTGCCTGAGAGATAGACGATTTCACTCTAGACTCGAGAAATTCGTACTGACGTTGGAGTTTCCACAGAATTCGACGCAATTCCGCATTTGTTGCGGTCAACTCGCGTTCTTCGCGTTCCATTTGTAGTTGTCGTTCTTTCCGGTTTTGCCGGCGGATCGGAAGCCCGCCGTTGCTAGTCACAGCAGTCCCAGGTCTTTCCCTGCTTGTTCCGCCTGAACCATTGCTGTAGCTTGTATCGTTGGCGACGAACGCTTGCGGCGGCACGTGGACGTAGGGGTCCTGTGTCGGGGGTGGGGAGCCGGTCAAGGATGAGGTAGACGAGGAAAAGCTTTCACGCCTCTGCTGGTTTGTTATCTGATTAAAGCGCTGCTGCCTATCGGAATACATGTCAAGGTCATAAAATTCCGCTGCCACACTGTCATTAAGGGTAGAGGCTGCGGGTACCTCGGACATCCCTGAGAAGTTAGGTGAATCGTACGTATTTGGATAGGGGTTCGAGCAATAGGGAAACTGCGCCTGGACTGGTTGCGCAGTTCTGATGCCCCCGCATAAATAACCGGTGTTATCTATATCATCAAAGACATTATAACATCTTAGAGCGGTTGGCGGCTCCATGCTTACGAAACGCAAATATCACTTCAATTCGCACTTACTTTTACTATATGCTCAACGCACACACCTATGTAATAAGTGCTGAACAGAGTTGATGACGATCTTTGCAACCTCTAGGTACTTGTTTTTATACGCATTTTAACAATGAGTAGTACTTAGTAAGAACAAATAAGGTCCAGGCGATATTAGGCCCTGCTGTCCTTACAGTCATATATACTGTGATACTAACTCACTATCACGTTTAGCCAGTGTTCGTACACAACATGGAGGCCGTCTCAAGTTCGATACGCTTGCGCCGTCTGGACGTTTCTGACAGATGCCAGTCGGTGGAAGTTTGTTTTGATCTTGATATCTCTTGCACCGTCTCTTGACGGTTATCACTGCCAAGAGCCATTCGTTACTAGACGGCGTTCGCTACTGCTACTAGCACTAGAAAAAAGGGAAAGAATCACCCCGTGCCTCCCTTGCCCGCCCGCCCGCCCGCCCGCCCGCCCGCTCGAATCGAGACTACTTGACATTCAATCTGTCTCTGCTGATGCCATTAGTAATGGCGGCTTTAGCGGCTGCATCGGCCTCTAGTTGCTGCCGCTTTGCGTGTCACTGACAGCGGTGATAATCACAACAGTAATAGCAGCGCTTTTCTCCTGCAACGCACAGATACCAAGACAAACAACCAAAGCCACAAACAAAGACACGCGCACAGACGGACACGAGATGCGCGGAGGACGCCTGTCAAATACCGAAGGACCTAGTTTCCCGTCGATTGTTTTAGGCGCTTGTTTAGGAGAAGACTCACTAGTAGCACTCACGCCGCCATCGCCACGCATATGGAACCCAAGCAAGCCGTAGATACAAAAATTAGGCTGAAAAAGTGCGAGATGATGCTATTGCCCCAGAAAGATCGCTGTTAGTTACGGTGATGGTAATGATGATGATCATGATGAACTAATGCCAAGAAGAAGGAAAAGAAAGAGCGGGGTATGAGGAAGGATAAGGAGAAAGGTGGGAGCGTGCACAGGGGAAACGATACATATAGAGCAATATGCATATAAAGCACAAACGTCGAAAGATGATATTTGCAAAAAGATACTCTTTTTATGTAATCTTTAAACTATCAAAACACATATATCATGCTAGAAATATATGTAT